CCATTTCCACCAGAGTCTATTGACAAAAATTATAAAGACCAAGTATTCAATAACCCAGGGAAAAAATCATCACCAACAATAATAGCTAGCATTTATTGGGTGTTTTCCATACAAGAAGACACGTATTTGCACAATCAATAAACTTCTTCAGCAATCTAGCTCTCTCCAAATTGTGGATGAAACAACTGAAAGATGAAAAAGAACCTTCTCCATTGGTAAAGTGGTGCCTATTCGTGCCACTAGGTTCCAAATTCAGAAGTCTAGCTCCAGGGCTTATTTTCTTATGATCTGTTCATTCTATACTAACCAAATAAAAGATCTGGGTAAAACTATATATTTGTTTATAATGAAGAGAAAATCATGAAAATCAAGAAAACTAAATGAGCCACCTGTTGCAGTTAAATATAGAGTCTTCAAATTAAGATGTACTACGAATGTAAAAGACCCAATTCTAAAACATGAACTAGTAATCTAACTCCTTAAAAAAGTTCTACATGGATTAGTACAAAAATGGAAGCATTTTTAATAAAAGGGTAATAGACTAAATAAATGTGTTTTAATGCAGTAGATTAAAGACTAAATAAGATTTAACATTTCATATGTGACTCCAATCACTACTGAACCAGTCTTACACAGGACAGTCACAAGTGTTTTATAGAATGTAAAGACAATCTTTCCCTTGTTTCATTTTCTGATTATACATATTTGAACAAACAGGGATTAAAAAAAAAACTGTTTAGTTTTGATATCTAAGCTTATTCTTCCAAAAAAAAAAAAAAAAGGTTGGAGATCACTTTGGTAAAGTATCTAATACCAAACCTGGAACAATAAATGTGAACTGATATGGTTTAGAAGTGTGTGTAGTTTGACACACATACAGATAGAGACAGAGGCTTTACATTTAGTCAAATCTGCCAAAATTTGAGTGTCAAATGATAGTGACTTCTATCTTCGAAAAAGAATTCATGAAATCACACAAAGTATAACTGAATGAATATCAACCCTTTAAAAGAAGGGACAAGGCCAGGCTGTGGTGGTCATGCCTCTAATCCCAGCAGAGGCAGGAGAATCTTTGAGTTCAAGTCCAGCCTAGTCTATATAGTGAGTTCTAGGACAGCCAGGACTACAAAGAGAAACCCTGTCTTGAAAAACAAAACAAAACAAACACCCCCCCCAAAAAAAGGAGCAAAGCCATATTATTGACAGAAGTTAAACTATGCCTGAAATTTTGATGAGATGATGGCAAAACCCTGTTCTTCAAAGTACTTTCCAACAAGTGGCATATCAATTCAAAATGGTGGATAATTTTCAGGGAGAAATATATCAAATTTCATCTTCACCAAATTTTAAGGTTGAGGCACACCAATATTATAAACTTCAAGATATAATGTACTGGGAAGAACAGAATATTTCTTCAGTAGTATTCCTGCCAAACACCCCCCCCAAAAAAAAAAAATCTAATCATGAGAAAACAACAAATTCCATTTGAGGGACGGACCATCCAACAAAATAATGCCGGATTTTGTTTTTTGGGTTGTTTTTGTTGTTGTTGTTTGTTTGTTTGTTTGTTTGTTTTTAATGTCAAGGTTAAGAAATACAAAGAAAAACTGAATAAGTACCCCCAATTTAAAAGAACTAGAGACACGATAGCCAATAAACTCATTACATTATCTTAAAAGTGGATCTTGAACTAGGGGAAAGGCAGGAGATTGATAAAAAAAAAAAAAAAAAAAAGCAAGCAGGTAAAATCTGAAAATGAACTAAAAATTAGGTAATATTATATGCTGACAGTGTCCTTGATTTTTTTGAATACTGAAAAACATTAGGAGTAAAGATATCTGTAAATAACTCTCAAATTTCTCAGTGTGTGTGTGTGTGTGTGTGTGTGTGTGTATGAATTTAGGACAAGAATAATGAAAAGACAACAACTGACTAACACAGGCAAGAGTAACTAGTAGTTCCTTATTTGAATATTTTAAGATGGAAGCATTTTAATTACTTTCCAAGTCTGAATAATGTTTTAAACTGTATTAATACATTTATTTTATGCTATATTTAACTGTTTTTAATTTTATGAATCATTAGACACTAATTATATTATTGATTCCATAAGGACTCAAAGCTCAGTGCCATTCTGATTAGTAGACACTAATTATACACTCTATAAAATATGAGATTGCATCTATTATTGCTCTGTATAATTCTGAATACTGGGATAATAGTCCCACATCCAATATGCACTCAAGCATTTGTTATATGAGGATACTCAAAATTATGCTCTGGTATAGGAAGATTTTAAAAAGTCCATTATAAACAGGGCCATCAATTGGGACAAAACAGGCGAGTGACTATAAGGCAAAGACATGAGTTCCACGATTATAAAGGGACTATTTCTAGATGGATTCAAACATTTTCCCTTCTCGTTACTAAAATCACTCACCGACAGTGAAGATAACTTTCTTCCCAAAATTGTCAGACAATATACATAACAAAAAGATCAATCATATTTAAGTAGGTAAGCAAAGATTTCAAGAAACTTCATTAGAGATTTAATAGCAATTAGCTGTACAACCTGAAGATGTTTACGGTTTCTAACTCTCACTGAAAACCAAAACTCAAGTCATTTTCTTTCTCAAAAACCAGAATGTTTTATTTAAGAAAGTATATCAATCAATAAGAGCACCGACTATTCAATACAGAAATGTATACATTTATACATCTACATAGTGTATATAAGTCACACACAAGGAACAGAAAAAAAAATCTATCTCCAAAGTACACATTATAGCAAACGGTAGCTTAAAATGATGACGGTTAACATCTATATTCACACCACAGTTAAATATGGCATCAACCTTGCCCCCAACTAACAGGTGTATATTCTATTCAGAAAGGTTTTGTTACTTAAAAATAACAGTGACAAAAACAACATCTGCAATGGACCTCTGTAGGTCTCTTGACAAAGAACTGGGACTTGTGTGAAGCAATTTCTCTAATATGGCTGCTCATCAGGAAAACATTTTCACATATGGTACAATATAATTGTGTGTAACACTGAAAGTGTGATACAGATTACATACTAGGTATTCAAAAATCTGTTTCCCGTTAAATCAAATTAATTTGTTTCATTTAAAGTTTAACTTTTAAGAGTACATGCATTCTTGTGACTCAAAGCCATACTAAATATATTCCAAGACACAACATGAGAAAAACAAATCGTCAAATGCTGTAAAACAAACCTCGACCAGGGTCATCTTCAAATCACCGTGTTCCTTACTAAAATTTATAACGTATTAACACTGTGAGCCGGTACTGCAAAGCAATCAGTACTATCTGTCGGACTCCACAGGTTCTGGGCAGGTTTTCAGCGGAACAAAGCTTCACATAAGTAACTGTCAAAATGAGTCCACTTTGTATTCATGAAGTACAAGTATTGACAAATTTACTATGAGGGTTTTTTTTTTTCTTTTGTTTTGTTTTGTTTCGTTTTTCAGATACCCCCTCCCCACCCCAACTCCGGTATAACTTTGCCACAGATGGAACCAAAATACGTTTCATAGAGGCGATACACAACAGTAAGCTGCTTAACCATCACCGAAATGTTCCTAAGTCAGGGTACCCCTCCTTCTGTTTTCCTATATGCATCCTATTCTGTAAAGCACATTACCGAACTAGAGTTGCTTCTGGTTTCATCTACTCCGATTAGTGAAAAAACAAGACAGACCTTTGGTGCTAACCAAACAAATCCGAGAGGGATGGGTAGGGGGACAGGGCGCGAGGTGGCGCAAGAACAGACGAAAACAAGGTAGGAGAGTTGTCTTCCCCGGGAACTGAGCCTACTTCTCCTCAACTCTAAAAGCTAACACCTACTCGTCAGAAACGAAAAGCGACGCTACCACCCGCTCCCCACAGCCGGCAGCCGCCACTCCCACTTCTTCCCCACGGTCGCTGCCCGGTGAGCCCGGCTAAAGCTCCCACCCCGCGGCCCCTCGACCGCCCGGAGCCAAACCTGCTAGGGGACGGCCTGCGGGCACGCGTCTCGCTCCGGGTGGGGAAAAGCCGAGCCCGCAACAAGGTGGGGAGTCCCGGTACTCCCCGCTCCCCGGAATGACAGCCCGGAGCGCGGAAGTTTGAAGCTAGACCAGCCGAGACCCCACCGAGACGGAAAACCGAACCGCGCCTCAACAGCCCCGGGAGGTGGAGAGGGCTACGCGCGTCCATCACATGACAGCGGAAAAAGGACCAGAGTCGTCGGGGCGTCCTCAAGGAAAGGGGGGGGCGTGGGGAGGGTGCCGTCGCCATAGCAACACCCCCCATCCGTCCAGACTTCCAAAGAGGGAGGAAGAACTTCAAATCCCAACCGTCAGCGCTCGAGCGGCTCCTTCTTAAAGGGGTACGCACAGCTCCGAGGCCGCGCGTGAGAGGGCAGAGGCGGCCGACCCCCACCCCAGCCCCGGGCGCCGGCCCCGTCTCCCCACGGCCCTCCCCGGCCCCCGCCCCACGAGCTGCCCGCCGCCCAAGGTCCCGCGTCCCGGGAACCGGGCAGCATCCAGCCGGGCCAGCCCCCGGCGGCGGGAAGGGGGTGTGTGAGCGCACGGCGGGGGCGCGGACCGGCCCGCCGCCGCCGCCGCCGCCGCGGGGTCCCCTCCGCCCCGGCGGGGGGCCGCGGTGACAGGGGCACCGGCGGGAGGCGACGGGCGCCGCGGAGTTTCGGGGGGCAGCGCAAGCGGGCGGGCTGCCTCCGCGGGGAGCTCCGAGAGTGGGTCCGAACTAACAGTTCCCCGAGAGCCCGGAGCCGGGCAGGCGGGCGGCGGGGCGCGGACCGCGCCGGGCAGGGAGCCCCGAGACAAAAGGCGCCGCCGGGGCCGCCGCCGCCGCCGCTCCCATCGCTCCCCATTGAACTGACCCGGACCGGAGCTCCAACTACACCCCTCAGCCACAAACTCCTCCGGCAGCCGCGCCGCGGCGCCGAGCCCAGCCCGGGCCCGTGGCTCTCTTACCTACACAGTGCATGAGGCGGTGGCGCCAAGAGTCGAGTTCCCGCCGGAATCCCCTCCTCTCCGCCGCGCACCGAGGGCTCCGGCACTGAGCGGCGGCGGCGGCGGCGGCAGCAGCGGCGGCAGCGGCCATTCTCTCTCTTCCCTTGTCCATCTGCGTCCCGCGTCACGCGCCCTCATTTACATACGAGCGGCGCAGGCACGAGGCAGGGGCGCGAGCCCTCGGCGCGGGCCCCGGAGCGCGCGCCCCCCGGAGGGGGGTTGATTGACACGTGTCACTACCTTCCCTCGGCCCTCCCCTCCCCCTCCCACCGCTCCCCCGGGGAGAGGCGGGGAGGGCGCGCCAAACAGAAGGAAGCAACCTGCCGCTTCCGCTGACCCCGCCTCCTCACCCACTCCCCCTCCCTCCTCCCCCCGGAGTTTACTCAGGCAAGCCATACTGCTCCCGTCGTCCACGAAAACCCTGAGCGGGAGCGAGAAACCCCGAGGCCAGCCAGGAACCTGCGTGCAGAAGGAGCGGACTAGCAACGCCTCCCTTCTGCCCTCGCGCAGGGCTCTGGCACGCCGCAGACTTCATTTCCCAGCCTCCATTGCGTGCGGTTCCCGAAGCGGAGCTCGAGGGCGAGACGCTGTGCACTCTGGGCTTTGTAGTCTATTCCCTTTGAGGGCTGTCGGAGCCAGTCCCCAATCTCAAGCCCGCAGCCTGGCCCCGGACTTCGAGTGCGTTGGGCTTGGTGGGTTTAGGTTCTCACTCCCTCCGCCCAAAGGCCAGCAGGGCGGGCTTTGCCCTTACCTGTCTTTAGCTTTGTCAGGTTCCGCCAGGGGTACCCCGAAAGCCTCAAGAGTTGTCGGGGTCTTGAGCGGCCAGGCAGCTCTTTAAGTGCTGGAAACTTTTCAGCGTCAGTGTCATCTATATTCACTTTCAGAAAAAGGGCACACGCCAGTCATTTCACTGCATCCAGGGAAAGATGTGGAGGAACATCGGCTTCCGAACTGAGGAGTTCTTGAAAAGTGAGGATAGTTGCAAAGATCGTGGAAACGCTGAAGGGGCTTTTCATCATAAATTATGAATATAGCTGGCTGAAAACTCCAGGAGGGAAATTTTATATACTACTCAAAATGTAAATTCTTGGAAGAGGAGGATTCACTGAGACTTTGGCGCCTTGATGGCTTTTTTTTTTTTTTTTCTTTTGCACCAGAGCCGTTCATTATTCTACATTTCTTTCTGTGTGGTCACAGGAGACCAAAAGCTAGTGAGGCATCCAGAGTTTATAGTGAAGTACTGTGTATTACTGCGCGTTTATGCTCTGCGGAGGAATACATTTTTATTCTTGAGAACTCATAAATCGTTGGCTTCTGCAGTACCCTCTCTTTTGTGGCATGTTCCTATCTATTATTCTGTTTTCTTCTTATTTATTGCTCAGCGTTGTCTCAGTGGTAAAAATATAACATTACATCTTCATCAAAATTGTTGAATGTGAAGTTTGAAACCATGTATGGTAATATATGTTTGCAGTTCTATCATTTGGGAGACTAGAGTAAGGTTATGTGCAGAACAGAAATAGCCTAGGTGGTGTTTCAGTAACAGAAATTCAAAATAACTGGCTTAACAGAAAATTTATTTTCACCACGCTATCTGCATAGTTTAGAGTGGGAAGATGGAAGAATTGTAATAGAACTCCCTCATCTGAAAGCTCACCAGCCACCATGACAAGAGAGGTGACACGAAAGCATGACCCAGCTTTTAGAAGCTTCCGACCAAAGTAGCTTCTCAGTGAAAGCATGTGGCCATGCTAACTCGAAAGGAATGATAGACTAAATAACGGAGAGCCTAACAGACCACCCGAAACTTAAATGCTTAAAATATCAACTATGGGATAGTGAGGTGGCTCAGCAGGTAAAGGGACTCCTGCAAGTTTCCCTCTGACGTCCCTCCACACACATACTGCAGCCCAAACGTGGAGATCCACGCATGCATGCACATGCAATAAATAAAATGTAAAAAATATAGACACCTTTAATGATTCTATAAAACAATAATTTGTGCTAGGCTTGGCTGGGCCTTTATGTGGCTTTGGCTGGGGTTTCGTGGTCAGCTATTTGACAGCTAGACCGTTCCATTTGTGAGGGATAGCTATCTGCCAGTATCAGAAACCAGTACTCCCGCTCTTCAAGGGGCTACCCCTGACTTGCTGTTACATGGAGGCTGTTACAGGGTTTCAAAGAGCAGCATGGGAGCTAGCCCCTAGAAGCATTCTTTTTTTTATTTTTTATTTTTATAAATTGCAGTTTATTCACTTTGTATCCCAGCTGTAGTTCCTCCCTCATTCCCTCCCAGTCTCCCTCATCTCCTCCCATGACACTCCCCAAGTCCACTGATAGGGGAGGTCCTCATTCTTAAAAGTTTCAACATGGCTCACATTTAGGTCTCAATGGCTAAAACAAGTAACATGGCCAAGCCCATGTCAATGTGGATAATATATTATGCCACACAATAGGAAGGTGTGTAAGTTGTACGAAAGGGGGGATTTCAGTGTTTCTCCCAAAGAAAGGAGAAATACAAAGTGGAACAGAACAAACCTCTAGACCCTCTGAGAAAAGGGAAAAACCATGACTAGATATAATGACATGCATAAATGTATGTCATTTACACTACATTATAATCACCCTATAAACATAGAACGATCAAGCCATTTTACTCCAAGCATCTGGTGTCATTCCTGACACCCTGTTAATGCTTTCTTATCTATTGATTTGATGACTATTTAGAATATCTGTAAATCCAACAGGAGAAAAAGGGCCATATTCAATATTGTCTCCTACACCAAAAATTCAACTGCAACAGGCTTTAAAATAACAGCAAATAAGTGATATGAAGATGTCAATATTCTGTAAAAAGATGGTCTTGTCCCGTATACTTCCTGTAGCTAGTGTAGCAGTCATGTGTTGTTACCTAACAAGTCAATCTTTAACAGTGCCTTATAGCACACCCATTTCTTACTGTTCTTAAGTTTACAGGTCAGATGGGCTGTTCTGCTGATCTGCTGAGGCTCTACAAATCTTGTCTGGGGATGCCAGTGCTGGTGCCTATTTATGTAGCACTGGCATGCGAAGCACAAGAGGTTAAGTACTAACATGCAAATGTTTTTCATGTTTGCGTGCCAGTCTTCTGTTGGTCAAAGCAAATAGAACAGACAAGCCCAAAATGTGAGTGGAAGGATGCTAACAAATTGTCTACACAAAGGTGTTATTCCTGCAGCCAAACTACCATCAATATCCAACCAGTTTCAACAAAAGCTTATAGTAGATCCACAGGCTTCTTATACTACGCTAAACCGCTTGGCAAATCACTAATGTATTTATTTGACCATTTAGTGACCAAATTTAAGGTACAATTGTAGGAAAGCATGATATAATGTAGATGAAACTGAGTAGTTTGCCATATGTTTCCACGGTAGAAAAATAAAAAGGTACAGAGTAATACTGCAAAAGTCATAGTTTTAAAAATAAGAACCTAAAGTGAAAGTCATTCTTCTACATTGTTACAAAAATAAGTAAGCTCTAGCATACTAGTAGGACTGTAAAATACCATTCAATTATAAAGTTATTAATGTATAATATACAAAAATACATTTTACAACTTAATAAAATTGAAATACTTGTGTGCTTTACGTATTTCTAACTATACAGCATAACATCATCAAAAAGCATTTAAGTGCCAGTAAGCCCTATTTTGAGTATCTGCTTTTAAACAATCACATTCCACTTTATGCCCTTTAGTTCTGAACTATAATGTATTGCACTGATTGGAGATTTGAAAAAAAAAAAAGTCAAATACATTCTGATTGTATCGTTCCACATTGTATACCTGTACCCAATTAGCACACTCTACTCTGTGAATAATGCACAATTAAAATTACAATTAAGAAAAAATTCAGAGAGAAATTTGATTAATCAGTTACTTAAGACCTAAACCTTAGCCCTTGTCCACAAAATGTCTAATCACCACATATATCATTTTAAAGATTATGCAGGTACATTATATCCATCTGTATTGATGAACAAGGTATTTCACAGTCTTCTTTTGTCTTATGAGAGGACGGACTGTGGAAAGTATATTAGATTTATACATCTAAATACATTTGTTATCAGTACTGCAGTTGAATTGTAAAGATACATAAAATTCCCAAATGCCATCCACAGCTTTTTGTACACCTTGCAGGAACAAGAACAAAATTTCAAAAGACAATCATCTAGGGAACACATATAATGGTGATGAAATGTGTTTCTTGGATTGTAATATCTACCTCTTTCCTATCCTACAGCTAACCTGAATATATACAAGAACAAGCTTAATAGCTACTCCAATTCTGTTTGTGGTTTCTCAAAAATTTTACTTCTGTGCTCTAAAATGAGTGCAACTGTTGAGTATTTTTAAAGCAGCATTGCTATGTCCTCTTATCATTTTCATAATAAATATTATGTAGTTCAGCATAATTTTTTACGTAACTGGTAGACTTAGATGATAAACTGCCAGTATAACCAATACTGAAATTGGGTGAGCGTATTTCCAGTTATTAAAAAGTAAAATTATACAGCTCTGAGATTGGTACTTGAATTTAATACCAGTAGCCATCTTCTCTCTTGCATCCAGGCATGATAATAGGACGGTTTTTTTGTCCATTAGAAATCACTCCATGGACTAATGCATTATTATCACTTTCATTTTCAGTCTTTTAATAAAATCTCAATGTGTTAGAGGCTCAATAATGGCAATTTGATCCAATTTAGTCAAATTGTATGGCTCAAAATCAAAGTCAAATAGAAAGGTTATCTATGGCACCTAAACTATTACTTTAGATGGAATGCAGGTTATATGGGTCCAACTCCTAGTTTTACAGATAGGGAACCCGGGATCCTGAGAGAATAAGTAGTTTATGTAGGTTCCAAAGCTTGCAAGTAAGACACGTAATCCAGAGTTCAATTTGCTTTTTCCTAATCTTGACAAAATTTTTGCTTATTTTAAATAAATGGATACTCTCTACATAATTTCCACGCATCCTGCCCTTTCTTCCATTTCTTCCTGTGCCTCCTACTCCTCAAATTCATAATCTCTTCTTTATTTTTTATTACTACACATACACACAAATGTGTGTACATAAATATCTGCTCTTCAATATTTCTGTATCTTTAC